ACGACGACATTCGGAGAGCGCTGTTGCAACAAACTTATGTCGATGACATATGTGTAGGCGCCGATACGGTCGAAGGTGTTCTCAAGCTACAACGTGATATGATCAACGTCCTCGGTAAATCCAACTTGGAGTTGAAAAAGTGGTCTAGTAACTATCCTGCGGTCCTCGATAGTATACCCGCCTCTGCCCGTGTAACGGGTCCGTTACCGTTTGATGCTGTGGATGGGGGTGGCGTTAAGGTTCTCGGCCTGCAATGGCAGCCGACCGATGACGTTTTTGGGTGCGCCATCCGTTGCGACTCACCACCCGTATTCACCAAACGCGGCGTTTTATCGTTAATCGCGCGCATTTTCGATCCGCTGGGCATATTCTCGCCGGCCACCTTCTACGCGAAGCACATAATGCAACGAACGTGGTCCTGCAATCTTGGATGGGACGACCCTCTTCCGAAGGATCTTCATCAAGAATTTTCCACTTTCGTCGAATCATTGGCCTGCCTCCGTCAGATTAACATTCCTCGACACTTCAGCACGCAGTCCGCCGACCGTTGTCTATTGTTGGGATTCTGTGATGCGTCACAGAATGGATGCGCCGCTGTCGTATACCTCCGTGTGTTGGATGATCGGGAGGACGCTTCGATCTCGCTGGTTGGCGCGAAAACCAAGCTAGCACCGATAAAGTCGTTGACCATCCCGCGGCTCGAATTGAACGCCGCTGAGCTATTGGCGCGCTGGTTATACCGCGTCAAGTGTATTCTCGATTCTCAGGTCAACATCGTCGGTGTACATGCATGGACGGACTCAACGATTGTCCTGTCCTGGTTGGTCAATCGTCACGAGTCGTTTAAAATATACGTGTCAAATCGGGTTCACAGAATTAACACGCTACTACCGAGTTGCGTGTGGGCACACATCCCATCCGGGGACAATCCCGCCGATTGTGCTTCTCGCGGTGTGTTACCGTCCGAGCTTCCAGCATTACAACTCTATTGGCAGGGTCCTGAGTTTCTACGGCGTTGTCCGTCATCGTGGCCGGTCGGAGCTGCCATGCTGCCGCTGAGCGACTTGCCTGAATTGCGCGTTCTATCCGTGACCGTCAACGTTCAACCTCCCGTTGTTGAATGGTTCGACGGATTTTCGTCTTACGACAAATTGATTCGAGTTGTGGCACTTGTGTATCGATTTATAGATCGCTGCCGCCGTCGCGTATGGGTTACGCGACGGGCGGCCCTCAACCGTTATGAACTCGACGCGGCGCTTGAGGCGCTGGTGATCGAGTCCCAGCGTAAGTTTTTTGTACAATTACGGCACGAGTTATCTCACCACTCCCGTGTGACAGCCAAACCGCTCGCGCGTTTGTGCCCGTTCATTGACCCCTCCGGCGTCATTCGAGTGGGGGGGCGATTGCGTCACTCGATGTTGCCATATGACCGTCAGCACCCAATACTACTAGCAAAACATTCACGCTTGGCCTTGTTGGTGTGTCGTCATTGGCATCGCATTAGCTGTCATGCCGGACCTCGAGTCGTGACCGCCATCGTGTCCCAACAATTTTGGATCATGTCTGTGAGATCAGTGCTACATCAAGTCAGCAGTGAGTGTACCATCTGCGTCCGATTTGACCATCAACCACCTCAACCGTTGATGGCTGATCTGCCACCAGGCCGTGTTCAACAGTGTTGGCCGTTCGCGCGAGTGGGTATTGATTTCGCTGGTCCATTGCAGTTACAAGAGACCCGCCTTCGCAAAGCACGGTCGTTTAAGGTGTATGTGGCTGTCTTTGTATGTTTCGCGGTGAA